CGCCAATTATGTAATATGCACGCTATGGAAACACCAGGAGACAGTGATTCTCTGAAGGCAGGTGTTCACGACAATTTCTGTGGATGGAAAACAGAAATAAAGCTCATGAGCCAAGGCCCAGTAAGCAAGGTTGTACATCACCATTACTTACACATGAATCAATCAAAATGGCAGACACTGTATATTACAGTGTTCACTTAGTTCGGGAACTGGGTAGCTACGCATTGAAGGCGATAGATTTGATGCACGAACGCCACTGACTACGTGATTGGACCATGTCTGCCAGTCTCATTAACCATTAGTGAGTTGAATTCAGTATTCTTCATCTGGAGAGGCCACAGTTTTCGACTCGACTGAGTTTACTGGTTAGGGTTTTGATTGTTCGTTGGCAGGTCATACAGTGTCCGTCCCTAGGTGGCTTCCACTCAGCACACGGTTGGATAAAAACAGACGGTCATATGGCGTACGGAGTACTTGTCCTAAGCAGCGCAACCTATGAAGCGTAAGTAGCTCATGTACCCAGGGAGAGTTCTCTTTTCCTAAAGCCACCTGGCTTATCTCTACATTGCTAGCCTCGCTGGGGCGAGATGGCCCAAGTGGTAAGAGCGCGAATTTACTGACCAGAAGGTCCGTGGTTGGAATCCGACCTCTGCCTCTCGACTACCCTGTCTAGGCTTGGGCAGCCTGACAGTATCCAAGCCCTCATGCTTCCTTCGGGTGCATGGCAGCTAGGCACCGAAAGGGTGCTACAGCTGAACGCTCGCGTTACCACCAAATCGAGCCAATGCTTCGGAGACGCAGTTGGTCAAACACTGACAGTTTTCCTATGTCGTATGCGCTTAGGTACCACGTTTCTGGTTCATAAATCAGGTCGGATTATACCGACGCAGCGTATTCTATGCTATTGACGGACAAACCGTCGTCCAAGGCCCAGTAAGCAAGGTTGTACATCACCATTACTTACACATGAATCAATCAAAATGGCAGACACTGTATATTACAGTGTTCACTTAGTTCGGGAACTGGGTAGCTACGCATTGAAGGCGATAGATTTGATGCACGAACGCCACTGACTACGTGATTGGACCATGTCTGCCAGTCTCATTAACCATTAGTGAGTTGAATTCAGTATTCTTCATCTGGAGAGGCCACAGTTTTCGACTCGACTGAGTTTACTGGTTAGGGTTTTGATTGTTCGTTGGTAGGTCATACAGTGTCCGTCCCTAGGTCGCTTCCACTCAGCACAGGGTTGGATAAAAAACAGACGGTCATATGGCGTACGGAGTACTTGTCCTAAGCAGCGCAACCTATGAAGCGTAAGTAGCTCATGTACCCAGGGAGAGTTCTCTTTTCCTAAAGCCACCTGGCTTATCTCTACATTGCTAGCCTCGCTGGGGCGAGATGGCCCAAGTGGTAAGAGCGCGAATTTACTGACCAGAAGGTCCGTGGTTGGAATCCGACCTCTGCCTCTCGACTACCCTGTCTAGGCTTGGGCAGCCTGACAGTATCCAAGCCCTCATGCTTCCTTCGGGTGCATGGCAGCTAGGCACCGAAAGGGTGCTACAGCTGAACGCTCGCGTTACCACCAAATCGAGCCAATGCTTCGGAGACGCAGTTGGTCAAACACTGACAGTTTTCCTATGTCGTATGCGCTTAGGTACCACGTCACGTTTCTGTAAATCAGGTCGGATTATACCGACGCAGCGTATTCTATGCTATTGACGGACAAACCGTCGTCACATCGGCGCCATAGGTGTGGGGGGGGGGGCAGTAGAAGCTGCACTGGCCTTCCCGATTCAAAAAGTAGTCTCATCCAGCCAGTCCACTGAGACTTATACGACTGTCTACCACGTCAATTGGCTGGTTTGAAAACGTGATGTTTAGGTTTAGTCTCACCCAGTCTTGTGGAAGTAGTTTACGCTCTGTAGGTGTGAGGCGCATACCAAACCACGGGGCAGGATTAACTAGGTTATTTAATTTTTTTTGCACATTTGAAGGAGCTTAACGAAGACGAGCGATACCGTCTACCCCGAGGGCATCCTGACACCCGAGATTTAAGGGGCAAACAGAGAAATTTCAAGCAGCGAATCAATAACAAAGTTAAAAAGAAATGGTGAGAGACCGCAGCCTTGTCATACACCATTGGTCGCGATGAGAACTTAAATGACGGCCTGCCGGATGCTCGGACACAGGAGTTCGCATAAGGATATAAATTTAGAAGGGACACCTTTGGTCGCCAGACGTTACCAAAGTTTCTGACGCCGACAGTCAAAAGCAGCTTTCAGATCCAGGAAGACGATCAACAGAGAACGTTTGAGAGTTGGGCTGCTCATTGAGTCGTCTCAAGGTAGACCGGTGGTCGATGCATCCTCGGCCAGGGCAAAATCCAGCTTGACTCTCACGAGTCCCTCTCTCCCAATAGTCGATCGAAGTGCACAAAATAATGCCAGAGAGCACCATGGATGCAACGGTCACTAGGCTGATGCCTCGGTGGTTTTCGCATGATATTCTTGCCCCCACCCTTCCCGCTCTTGTGGGAAGTATCATGTGCTCGGATGCCAGAAGCATACTAGGAGAGATTGCTGACTTATCGAAGTCATGAACGCTCAGGTCCAACACCGTAGCGGTCTTAGAAACATGGTTTGTGGATGATTCAGAAATGTCTATGAATCCACTTTAGGTCTTTTCGGCTGGCACAGGGAAAACCGTTACGTGAGAGTTCTCGTTTGCTTGCTGCATCCCAAAGGCAGGCAAGAATAACGTCGTATAAGATTTTAAAAATGTGAACTTTTTATGCCACATCGGCCATCCCGTGTTATCATCATACAGACTGCCTTGCT